AACCCTAAACCCCAAACCCTAAACCCTAAACCCGAAACCCTAAACCCGAAACCCCAAACCCTAAACCCTAAACCCTAACCCCAAACCCTAAACCCTAAACCCTAAACCCCAAACCCTAACCAGGCCTGCGCATGTGGCAGACGTGCGATGCTCTGCCCTACCTGCTTCTTTGAGGGAGCGTTTAGGGTTTGCAGGGCGCGTTCTTTCGGGTGTAGGTGTACAGGGTTTAGGGTTTAGGGTTTAGGGTTTGGGGTTTAAGGGTTTAGGGTTTAGGGTTTAGGGTTTCGGGTGTACAGGGGCCAGGATGCATAGGGTTTAGGGTTTAGGGTTTAGGGTTTAGGGTTTAGGGTTTAGGGTTTAGGGTTTAGGGTTTAGGGTTTAGGGTTTAGGGTTTAGGGTTTAGGGTTTAGGGCTAGGGTTTGGGGTTGCTACTGTCGAGGGCTTCGAGGGTTCCGTAACTTAGGGGGTAGTGGATCTTCTCGGCCTCCTAGGGCTTTGGGGCTTGAGGCTTTGGTGGGGTTTAGGGATTTTTTGTTTTAGGGATTGGGGTGTAGGGTTTAGGGTTTAGGGTTTAGGGTTCAGGGTTTTGGGTTTAGGGTTTAGGGTTTAGGGATTTGCTGCTTTAGGTTTTGGCCTGGCGGGTTTAGATCTTTGAGGGTTTTCGGGTTTAGGGCTTTGGGCTAGGGCTTAGGGTTTGTAGGGACGATCAGGGCTGAATTCAAGCAGGGAGCTAATATATAGGAAGCGTGAGACTTTTTACGGCCGGGCGAAAAAGACTCAGGCCTTAGTCTTCACAATGTAGGGTTTAGGGTTTAGGGTTTATTTAGGGTTTAGGGTTTAGGGTTTAGGGTTTAGGGTTTAGGGTTTAGCGTGTAGGGTTTAGGGTGTAGGGTCGGAAAAAATTAGGGCGTCGGAAACTCGTCAGCACTTTCGGCAGCTCACGACCACGCCAAGGTTCATACCTGACCTTCCAGCAAGGCCAACACAAGCCGTACTCCGAGCGCGCCTTCCGAACGCAGTTGCGCGCCTTGCACGGGCGGAAGCCGTAGTAAGCGCAAAGTGCCTCCGCATCTTCGCGGTCGCTGGCGTAAAGAAGCCACCCGTTTCGCTCCTCAGGCTGGTTGTAGAAAGGCACCCAGTCACAGAAACCGAAACCGGGCCTGAGCACGCGCCCGTGCATCCCTCCCCCCCCCCCCCCCTGTAGTTTCGGCAGGCACCTTCAGTCGGGTACCCGATTTAGGGTTTAGGGGTTAGGGGTTAGGGGTTTAGGGTTCAGGACTTAGAAGGAGCTGCTTATGTGGTTTCATGGACGACTTGAGAGTTGAAGGATTTTAGGCTCAGATCCTAGGCTTTGGGGTCTGGGGCCCTTAGGGAGTAGGGCTGTATCTTTCTCAGGGCACAGGGGCCCTTGTAGGGTTTATATGTAGATTGGCATAACCGCCAATCTGCTCTGAAGCGATACGGCCAACCCTTTTGGGCGGCTTGAGAGTTTTGTTCCCACCTCACCCCCGTGCATGCAACAGGATTGCGCTGCACACATCGGAGGGAACGCGCCGGTCTTAAGGGAAACCGGCACAGGACTTTTGCAGAAACGTGATTGAGGAAGCACATAACTTCTACACCCCCCTCTTCAGAGATTACGTTCTGCTGGCATGGCACGTCTGTCTCATGGCCCGGAGGTGTGAGCCACCTTGCCCCCGTAGTTAGGCGCTCATGAGTTACAGACAACCTTTTTTTTTTGCACAGCCACGTTTGTGACTGGTCCGAGCTTTTGACTACTCGGGCGGCATGTGAGAGTTTACTACCCCCCTCACTTGGGCAAGCGCGTGAGAGTTTACTGCCCCCCTCACTTGGGCAAGCGCGTGAGAGTTTACGGCCCCCCTCACTTGGGCAAGCGTGTGAGAGTTTACTGCCCCCCTCACTTGGGCAAGCGGCCTCACAGCTGCATGAAGCGAGCTCATGCGGCTGATAACCTATATAGTTTGGGAAATCCACCAATGCAATCCGTTAAGCCATGAAACACAGGCGCACTTCTACCTTTTTGTCTCAGAGGGCTTGAGTGCGATAGATGCAACATACATGAAGGCAAAAGTGGCAAGGAGGTTCGAGTATAAAATACACCCTAAACCCTAAACCCTAAACCCTGTGCATCGCGCCTTGAAGCTGATGTAGTGGTTGCAGTCATCCGGGTGCTGGCGTGAGAGAGCGCTGAGGTGGGGAGAACAACTCTGGAGATCTGCCCTAAACCCTAAACCCTAACAAACCCTCAACCCCAAACCCTAAACCCTAAACCCTTCTGAGGTTCAGGGAAGGTTTCCAAAAATAGGGGCACCCCTTTACACCTGACCCTGAAGCCCTACATCTTGATCCCTCATCCCCTGAGCCTTAAGCCCGCAGAGCTCTTAAACCTAAACCCCTAAACCCCTAAACCCGAAAACCCTGAAACCCTAAAACCCTACAACCCTAAAACCCTAAGACTCTAAAACTCTGAGACACTAAAACCCTGAGACCCTGAGACCCTAAAACCCCAAAACCCTCTTACCCTAAGACCCCCTAAGATCACCCTGAAACCCTAAGACTCTCAGTCCAAGAGGCGTCTCGCATCCAGGTATGGCCATCAAATGCCCCCCTGGCCGTGCCTGCAGCGCAAGGGTGTTCAGAGGTTAGGGTTTTAGGGCTTTAGGGTTTTAGGGTTTTAGGGTTTTAGGGTTTTAGGGTTTTAGGGTTTTAGGGTTTTAGGGTTTTAGGGTTTTGGGGTTTTAGGGTTTTAGGGTTTTAGGGTTGTAGGGTTCTAGGGTTTTAGGGTTTTAGGGTTTTAGGGTTTTAGGGTTTTAGGGTTGTAGGGTTCTAGGGTTTTAGGGTTTTAGGGTTTTAGGGTTTTAGGGTTTTAGGGTTTTAGGGTTTTAGGGTTTTAGGGTTTTAGGGTTTTAGGGTTTTAGGGTTTTAGGGTTTTAGGGTTTTAGGGTTTAGTTTTTTTGGGTTTTAGGGTTTTAGGGTTTCAGGGCTTAGTTTATGGTTGAGGGCAGGTCAGTGTACTTCAAGGTTCATGGGTATTTATAAGTGGGGCCAATAAGCACGCTATAACAAAGGTTGCCGATACGTATAACCTACGTACAACCACCCGTGAACCTTCAAGTAGAATGTCCAGTAGGTGAGCTCAGGGCGTTCTAAGGTTGAGGGTTTACCGCAATCCCCAAAACCCCCAAACCCCAAATCCTCAGCCGTATTTACTGTACGTTTTAGGCCCCGAACCCCTAGCTGGTGGCTGTAGAGTTTAGGGTCCAGGGGCGCACCTTCTCCTAGGGCTTAGGGTTTATAAGGGCCCCGAATACTATGACAAGAAAGGCAGGTACCACCCCACCCTACCCACCGAAAAAGGGGATTGGGGCATTAGCCTCTAGTGATAGGGTTCTTGGGTTCAAGGGGGGGGGGGGGATATATAACCCAAGGTCCCCTAATACTCCCACTACTCCCCAAGGCTCCCCAAGCTTCCCTAAGGTTCCCTCGGTACCTACCTACCCCCCTTTCAATCCCTTACCCTACAATGTAGGTATATTCCCAAATTCCACTTTGAGGAACCTGTATATCCCTAGAACAGGAAGTGGCCTGAATGACGTGGTTTCCGTACACTCGTTGGTACTGAACTTAAGAGGTTCAACGCAGCGCACCATACCCACACCCTAAACCCGTAACCCCTTGAACTTCAACCCTGAAATCCCTGACCGTAACCCCTTGAACTTCAACCCGAAATCCCTTAACCGCTTAAACCCTTAAAGCCCTTAAAGCCCTTAAAGCCCTTAAAGCCCTTAAAGCCCTTAAAGCCCTTAAAGCCCTTAAAGCCCTTAAAGCCCTTAAAGCCCTTAAAGCCCTTAAAGCCCTTAAAGCCCTAAAGCCCTTAAAGCCCTTAAAGCCCTTAAAGCCCTTAAAGCCCTTAAAGCCCTTAAAGCCCTTAAAGCCCTTAAAGCCCTTAAAGCCCTTAAAGCCCTTAAAGCCCTTAAAGCCCTTAAGCCCTTAAACCCTTAAATCCCTCAACCCTAAACCCTTAAATCCCTAACTAAACCCTTGACCCTAAACACCTAAACCGAAACCCTTAGAGCCCTTAAAGCCCCTTAAAGCGGCTTAAAGCCCCTAAACCCTAAACCCTAAACCCTAAACCCTAAACCCCTTAGAGCCCATAAGCCCGTGGCCGATGCTGAGGGTGTCTCGCGGAGCCCAGCTGGGCAGCTCCAAAACTGGGGTCACCTCACAAGGAGTTCCGGGTTTGGGGTTCCGGTTCAGGGTTCAGGGTTTAGGGTATAGGGTTTAGGGTTTAGGGTTCAGGGTTTAGGGTTTAGGTTTCAGGGTTTAGGGTTCAGGGTTTAGGGTCTAGGGTTGAGGGTGCAGGGTTCAGCAACTCAAGGTTGAAGAAGTTAGAGTATAAGGGAATAGATGTTGGCAATGCTCCGGTCTTGGGCTGCGCCCCATCTTTCATGCCGTCCACTCGGTCCCAGAGGGTTGTTGCAACGTACCTCTATAGATCTCTATGGGTGGTTGTCAAAATTATGATCCCTTTTGGGGTACCCTAAATATTAGGTGCCGTATTATAATAGGGACCCAAAAACGGACCATAATTTTGACAACCACCCCTATAGCATAGTATATACTGGGGCTTGGAAGCGGTTGAAAGATATAGCTTCTAGTAGGGCCCCAGCATACTGTTTAGGCACATGGAGCCTCGGGGAATGTTTAGGGTAAGGAGTATCAAGGCCGGGTGAAGACTTCGTGCAGCAACTGCTCGTTGAGAGTCCCTCCAAGCTTCAGCGGCCCTTAACTAAACTCTAAACTCGAAACTCGAAACCCTAGACCCTAAACCCTTTAGGTTAGTTCTCGTCCCGAGTCATCCTGCCAACGAGGCGTGTCCGACCACCATAAGCCGAGCGAGCCGAATCAGAGTGCCCTAATCGAACCTTCCTGAATTGCAGTACCTCAAAACCTTAAGTCCCAAAATATCTGACTTTTCCTCACATACCCTGCCAAGAGTCCGAGCTCCACCAAGAGCCTCTTTGGGCCCAATTCCAAGCGCCGTCACAAGAAGCGCTGCTCCATGTCCCTGCCAGGTCGCCCGGAGCACGGGCATCCTGCGTGGTAAGCTCTCGCAGATGCTCTTCGAACGCAGCCACCACTTCACGAAAATGAAGCTCGTCATCCTCACAAAAATCCCACCACTCCCTGTACATCTGGGCGAGGATTGATCTTAGCTTCGGCACAGGGACTGTTTCCTCCCTAAAGCACAGGATCATCTGCCGTTTGATCACATCCCGGACCTGCATCCAGCAACTCTCCACAACGCTTTTCTCTGCAAACTCTACAGCATAGCTCAGTGCCGAACGCCCATCATCGTTTAAGTGGCACAGCTCTTCAAGCGTAAGACGCTCGGCTACTAAAATGCAGATCCTTGCTTGGTCTTTGTCTTTGTCGCGTATGTGCTGCCAGTCAGTGGGTTCCAGTATGTATTGAAGCAGGTTGTCGTTAAACGGTGGCATGTGGCCAGCCCAGCACCATCGCGGAAGGCCTTTGCTGATGAGCTCAGCGATGCAACGGGCTGAGTCGTCAGCTCCGTACATACCTACTGTAGAGCGGCGGTGGCGTTGGGGAAATTTCGTGCGCACGCTTTCCCAGATGATCTTCATAGTCTCTGTGTCGGCAGTCAGCAAGGCGCGCTGGACTGTGTCAGGTTGCAAGAGTGGAACAACTTCCCAGATGGTTTCTTGAAACGGGCTCGATTCCCATCTCCATTTCGGGCCTGAGAAAGCGAGCATGTTCTTCAGCAAGCTTGGCATTTCTGAACACACTGCATCGATTGACAGGTTCAGCACAGCATCCCGCCAAGCATCTGCAAGGAGATTCATAGAGTCGAAGTTCCTGTTTGTGGCGCACTTTTGACAACAAGCTTCCAACAGCGCCGCCAGGTCTGGGGCAAAGAGCGTCCAAGGCTCTGGTCGTTCATCAGCATTTGGCCACACGCCTTCCGGAATCGTTTCCCCGGCAAGCGCCGGCACTTCTTCCAGTTCCGACATCCAGGACACTTGAAGGTACTGCAGAACACTATCAGGCCCAAGGTCGGCTGCGTCGATGGGCTCGTCATCCTTCAACTCGCCGTCCTTACCAACCAGGCGCACTAACCTGGCGCAAGGTCGGTTGGGGTCAGCTGCGGCCACAAGCTTCTTCAAGTCCCTGCTGCTGCGCAGCTCTTCCACGTCCGCGTCCGACAAGTCCAGCGCCAAGACGCGCCCACCTAGGCGGGACAGATGAATGGTCCTCATCTCACAAAGCCCTGGATCACGAAGAGCACTCTTCCAACCCGACTCGACGAAAAACTGTAGGGACTGCTGCGCAAGCTCTCCCTAAACCCCCGAAAGTCATGATGTCTGCGACGTCACCGTTAGGCCCTCGCAAGAGACTGAATGCCGACGTCCTTGATAGTAGTCCGTTACAACCTTCCCACCCTTGAATCACAGTGCTGCTGTGGGAAGGATCGGGACTATAGGGTTTAGGGCTTAGGGCTAGTTTTGGAAAGGAGCACAGAACCACAAAAAGGTGACGCTGGGCTACCACGAGCTTGAGCATTTGCAGCAAACAGGGTTGAGGGTTCAGGCTGCCGTTACGGAGAGCAGTCGTGCTCCATGATGCTCCATTGTGTTTAGGGCTTAGGGCTTAGGGCTTAGGGCTTAGGGCTTAGGGCTTAGGGCTTAGGGCTTAGGGCTTAGGGCTTAGGGCTTAGGGCTTAGGGTTTAGCGTTGTCATCCACTGAAAATTTGCCCCAAATCCCCGAGCCCCCGTATGGGGGCTTCCGAACACAGGGGGTACCCTTTTTGGGGGTCCCTTGAAGGGGATTCTATTCTACTTGGGGTATAAGGGGTACCCCTATTCTGGGACATGCCCATAGTCTGTTGCCTTGTGTAATTAGTTATGTCAAGGACGAGGGAGGGCTCTCCGGCGGCCTAAAGCCCTTAGAAACGGGATCCCAGGATCAGAGGGCTTTCCTGCAAGAGCCACCTGAGCCGACTCTATGTGAAGTCTGCCAAGAGCCCCCAAGGTTTAAGGTTTAGGGTTTAGGGTTTAGGGTTTAGGGTTTAAGGATGTATGCAAAAGCTTCCAGCCCCAAGGGGACTGCTCTAGGTACGGCTCAAAAGGGGCCTTGGGAAACGTAGAAGTGGATACTGCCTAGAGTGGATGCTGTAAACCCGACCTTGGAGTAGACCCTGGAAAAAACTATATACTTTTTGGGTATAAGTAGCTCTAATGGGAACCCAGAACAAAAAAAAAACATTGAAGTATAGTACTCCAAAGCACAGTAAAGCCTTTCTGGGTTGGGCTTAGGGTTGAGCTCCGCATAGGCCCTGCCACTCTCGCCCCCTACACTCCTCCAGCATGCCTGCTACCTGCCCCGAAGGTACCCCCAAAGCGTCTGGCAACAGCCGAGGCCACCAACCACCTCTTGACCTCAAACCGCGGAACCGTGAACTCTAAACCTTCTAAGTTAAGGGTTCAGGGTTTAGGGTTTAGGGTCTAGGGTTTGGGTCTTAGGGCTTAGGGGGCAGTATGAAAAAAGACCTGCTCTCGCCTTCTCCACCTTCGTCGGCTCGTACTTCTCATCACACGAGGACGCGCCGGCGTCCGCCCCGTCGGCCAACTTGGCGCCTGCCTTGTTGGTCGGCTTGGTCTTCGCCTGCAAAAACCGGGCGAGGATGGCCCTTTAACAACCCTCTGCAATACATTCGTAGATAGGGGCCTTTTAAACCCTGAAGGGGAAATAAGGATATGATCCTCCTAAACCCAATAAGGGAAATAGTGAAAATGTCCCAAGGGCCGACCCCAGCAGGGCATACCCTACACCCGTTCTACTAGCAGCTCCTCAATAGGGATTCTAGTACCCCTTATTCTAATCCCTATTAGGGACCGCTAGTATAAGGGGGAAGGAACATCCCAACCTACACCGCAGAAACCCCATAAACCACAATACACCAAAAAATCACGTAAACCCCACAAGCTCTATAAACCCTGTGAACACTACAAAGCGTTTAGGGCTTCGGGTTGCGCAAATTTCTATTCGGGTTGTTATTATACTTGTGGGATGTTCTTTGTATGTGAAAGTTTTCTTGGTGGAAGTTGCTCCTGCAAAGGTTGCTATTCTAGAGGTTCTTCTGCCAGAGGCGTTTATCGTAAAAGGCTGCCCCCTCTACTTCCGTGGTTGCTCCTCGACTTCCATCTGCTTAAAGAGTGCGTTCTCAGTAGGGGCTGGAGATGGTTTTAGGGTCTAGGGTTTGGGGTTTAGGGTTTAGGGTTTAGGGTTTGGGGTTTAGGGTTTAGGGTTTAGGGTTTACGGTTTACGTTTACGGTCCCTTGTAACCCGACACTTGCATCGCAGGTCCGGAGAGGCTTGGAGTTCATACTAAGCCCTCAGCTCTCAGCCCTAAACCCTCCCTAAGCCCCCCGGGGCAGCCCCCCTAACCCTAAACCGTAAATCCTAAACCCAAAAACCTAAACCATAAACCCGAACCGGGTTTGCCCTTCCCGCAATGCATTGAGAAACTCAGAAAATTTCAACTCATGTGGTGGTAGAGTTTACATTATGAGTATCGCACCCGTTCCAGTCACATATAAACCCTGTTTCATGTGTTGTCTGGTGCCAAAACCCTATATACCCGGGCACCTTGGCCCAATTCTGAAAGCTGGGTGCGGGGGAGGGATGGAGGGACCCCTAAGATCCTCTGAGCGTGATTTAGGGTTAAGGGTTTAGGGGTAGCAGAAGGTGAAAAAACACAGGTTGCGCCTTTGTTTTGGAGCCTGAATTGTTCACGGTGTCCTTCGCTACCCATCATGGTGTGCTACACAAGCCAAAAACATGAGGACCCCCCCCCCCCCCACCCCCCTGCCCCACAAAGGAAACAAAACGAGTACAGCTCAACTTCAAGCACGGCCTTCAATCCTAAAACCCCAAACCCCCAACCCTAAGCTCCAAGCCCCCAACCCTAAACCCCAAGCCCCCAACCCTGAACCCCAAGCAAACCCTAAACCCTAAAGCCTTCAGCCCTAAACCCTATGGGCCTCCGTGGGGGGCGACAAAGAGTCCTCGGACCCTTCGGTGCTGATGCTGATCCTGATTTTCTACCACGTGTCATATTCGGCTAGTCCTTAAAACCCTCTGGAAAATATTCGTAAACAGGATCCTCTCAAACCCTATAAAGGGAAAATATGAAATCTATCCAAGGCCCACTAAGTATAGGAAATGGTGTTGGTAAAATGACATGTCTTTCATATTTGTTTCACTATTTGTTTCGCCACGTGTAAGGGTTCAGAGGCTCATGGAGTTTATGGCGGGGGGGGGGGGGGGGGGGGGGGGGGGGGGGGGGGGGGGGGGGGGCTGGAGGGGGATTTCACAATTTATTTGGCAACTTAGGGTTCAGAGGTTTATGGAGTTGAGTGGGCGGGGTTTGTATGGAGTCTATGGGGTGTGTGGCAGGTGTTGGGGGGTTCTGGGGCTATTGATTATGGACATGGGGCTGCTTAGGTGTGCGGGGTGAAGGGGCTTAGCTAAGGTCCCGAAGTACCCGTAATCAAAGTAAGGATTTGGGGGGGGGGGGGGGGGGGGTTGCGTTTGGGGGGTTTGGAGCTTAGGGGTTTAAAGGTTTAACCAGGGCTCTGGGGTTGACTGGTTAGGACGCCTGGGGTGAGGGGTTGAGGAGACAGGTTGAGGGGTTGACTGGTTTAGGGTGTTCGAGCAGTTATCGAGCAATATATCGGCTGATAAGGTTGTTGCACAGTCCTTAAGGGATTCATGGGGGGGTAGGTACCTCTAGGGAACCTTCGTGACGCTTAGGGGGCCCTGAGGGAGTGGTGGGGAGTGCTAGAAAACCTTGGGTTACATGCCCCCCCTTGAACACCCTAAACCCTAAGCCCGAAGCCCTAAACCCTAAACCCTAAGCCCTTAACCCTAAACCCTAAACCTGGGTTTCTTGGTGGATGAACTCCATGAGCCTGGATTCCTTTTGATTTTCTGGGAGGTGCGGAGCCTCGACATATGGGCTTCGACGCAGTTATATATGCTTCTGCAAAACGAAATCGTTTACAAGGATCTAGGGTTTCAGGGTTTGGGGTTTAGGGTTTAGGGATTGGGGTTGAGGGTTTGGGGTTCAGGGTTTCGGGAAGCCATCCAGGCATCCGTTCTGTAACCTTGAACCCAGTGAATTCCCAACTCAGTTGCCGGCCCCTACGGCCCCAAGCTGTTCGGGGCGACACACAGCTTGATAATGCAGGGTTTAGGATTTAGGGTGTAGGGTTCATCGCCGAATGCCAAATCCTCGACTTCGATTCCCCGATTTGTGGAATAAGGCTGATATGGGGGTTTACGAAAATAGGGCGCCCCTAATGCAGATCCCCAATAGTAGGATCCCTATATTGTAACGCCCCCAATAAGGCACCCCGCACCCCCAATTTCGGAAACCCCCCCCCCCCCACCCCCCAATCTTAGGGCCGAGTCAGCAGATGTCACTCCTGCATTGGAGGGGTTCTGACAGGCCCCTGGTGATTTTTGGGTCTTGGCAGTGAGGCCAGGGCCGTTTTGTGGCCCGCCCTGTCCTGGCCCTGGCCCTGGCCCTGGCCCTGGCCCTGGCCCTGGCCCTGGCCCTGGCCCTGGCCCTGGCCCTGGCCCTGGCCCTGGCCCTGGCCCTGGCCCTGGCCCTGGCCCTGGCCCTGGCCCTGGCCTTGGCCCTAGCCCTGGCCCTGGGTCTGGCCCCCTGGCCCTGTAGCTGTGCGCGTGATGTTTTGTAAAAAAATAAAAGAAAACCCTAACTCCTTGAGAGTTGTAAGTGGGCGGTCTTGGGGCGGGTAGGTCTGCAGACTGCTGCGCGCTCCCAAAGCGCGTTTCCGTCTGGCACGCCCTAAACCCTAAACCCTAAACCCTAAACCCTAAACCCTGGCAAGGCCAGTGCTTTCCGGCCCTGGGGGTCTGGCTTTGAGTCGGCTGAGCCGGCTGTCGTGCTTCGCTCCAGCATCATGTCGATCTGGGGCATGGGCTGAACGTGAGCTAGGGCTTAGGGTTTAGGGTTTAGGGGTTAGGGGTTAGGGTTTAGGGTTTAGGGTTTAGGGTCTAGGGTTTAGGTTTTAGGGTTTAGGGTTTAGGGTTTAGGGTTTAGGGTTAGGGTTTAGGGTTTAGGGTTTAGGGTTTAGGGTTTAGGGTTTAGGGTTTAGGGTTTAGGGTTTAGGGTTTAGGGTTTAGGGTTTAGGGTTTAGGGTTTAGGGTTTAGGGTTTAGGGTTTAGGGTTTAGGGTTTCGGGTTAGGGTTTAGGGTTTAGGGTTTAGGGTTTAGGGTTTAGGGTTTAGGGTTTAGGGTTTAGGGTTTAGGGTTTAGGGTTTAGGGTTTAGGGTTTAGGGTTTAGGGTTTAGGGTTTAGGGTTTAGGGTTTAGGGTTTAGGGTTCAGCATCTCAAGTCCAAGCATTTCACTAGTAGAGCTCCTTACTCCGGTATCGAATATCGACCCACCCACCCAGTGGATCCCATAACATTATGAAAATATTTTACTTTATGTTTTAATCTTAAAATTTTTGGTTCAGTCGGCTGCCGGGTGGGCCCTAAACCCAAAAGGCAGCCCAGAGCAGGGCCTAACCTCAATAAAATCAGCCCCGCGTAGGCCCTAAACCCTAAAGCCAGCCCAGAGTAGGCCCTAAACCCTAAAGCCAGCCCAGAAGCTAGCCCACACTAGGCCCTAAACCCTAAGCCAGCCCAGAGTAGGCCCTAAACCCTAAAGCAAGCCTGCCCAGAGTAGGCCCTAAACCCTAAAGCCAGCCCAGAGTAGGCCCCCCGAGCAACCGGCAAATTTTGGTGGAAAACCGGTAAATTTCGGTGGAAAACCGGTAATTTTTAGTGGAAAAACCGGGAATTTTAGTGGAAAAACCGGGAATTTTTAGTGGAAAACCGGTAATTTTTGGTGGAAAACCGGTGTTTTTAGTGGAAAAACCGGGAATTTTTAGTGGAAAAACCGGGAGTTTTTGGTGGAAAAACCTGCAAGTTTTAGTGGAAAAACCGGGAAGTTTTGGTGGAAAACCGGGAAATTTTGGTGGAAAAACCTGGAATTTTTAGTGGAAAAACCGGGATTTTTTGGTGGAAAAACCGGCAAGTTTTAGTGGAAAACCGGGAATTTCTAGTGGAAAGCCGGTATTTTTTAGTGGAAAAACCGGGAGTTTTTAGTGGAAAAACCGGGAGTTTTTGGTGGAAAAACCGGCAAGTTTTAGTGGAAAAACCGGGAATTTAGAGTGGAAAACCGGGAATTTTTAGTGGAAAACCGGGATTGTTGAAAACCGGGAATTTTTAGTTGAAAACCGGAAATTTTTAGTGGAAAACCGGGAATTTTTAGTGGAAAACCGGGAATTTTTAGTGGAAAACCGGGAATTTTTAGGGGAAAAACGGGAATTTTTAGTGGAAAAACCGGGAATTTTTGGTGGAAAAACCGGGAAGTTTTAGTGGAAAAACCGGGAATTTTTAGTGGAAAAACCGGGAATTTTTAGTGGAAAACCGGGATTTGTGGAAAACCGGGAATTTTTAGTGGAAAACCTGGAATTTTTAGTGGAAAACCGGTAATTTTTAGTGGAAAACCGGGAATTTTTAGTGGAAAAACCGGGAATTTTTAGTGGAAAAACCGGGAAGCCATTAGCCATTAAATATACATATGATAGAGAGTGTTTAGGGTTTAGGGTTTAGGGTTTAGGGTTTAGGGTTTAGGGTTTAGGGTTTAGGGTTTAGGGTTTAGGGCTAGGGTTTCGGCTAGGGTTTAGGGGTTTAGGGTTTAGGGTTCCGAAACCCTTACAAAAAACCCTAAATCCTTATAAAACCCTAAACCTTCTGGAGCCCCAAAAACCCAAAACCCTTGTAAAGCCCTAAAACCCCAAACCCTCATAAAACACTCTCAAACCCTGAACCCGTATCAAACCCTAAAACCCCAAACCCTTATAAAACGCTCTCAAACCCTGAACCCGTATCAAACCCTAACACCCCAAACCCTTGCAAACTCCTAAAACCCTGAACCCTTATGAAACACTGAAACCCTGAACCCTTATGAAACCCTGAACCCTTATGAAACCCTGAACCCTTATGAAACACTGAAACCCTGAACCCTTCAGAATGCATAAGGGTGCTTCGGGTGTAGAAAGAGGTATATAGGGTGAACTGTCCACCTCAGACTGTACTTTTTGATTTAGGGTTTAGGGTTTAGGGTTTAGGGTTTAGGGTTTAGGGTTTAGGGTTTAGGGTTTAGGGTTTAGGGTTTAGGGTTTAGGGTTTAGGGTTTCTGTAGCCCTCTACTGGGCCTTTGGTCATAGTTCTTCGCTCCTGCCTGGAAGCTATAAGAGAGCTCTCTTATGTCACGCGCCTGCTCTCTTCCTTCCCTCTCTGCCCTAGCGAGGCCCTAACCCTAAACCCCGAACCTCCAGATTCTCCGCTAGCTGAGCCCTAACACCCTAAACCCTAAACCCTAAACCCTAAACCCTAAACCCTAAACCCTAAACCCCTAAAAAAAACCCTAAACCCTAATCAGCCCGTCCTCGGGAGCCGTCTGCACCGCCTCCTCTCTCAGTAGAGGTTTTGGGTTTGTAAGGTCTCATAAGTTGCCGAACCCTAAACCCTAAACCCTAAACCCTAAACCCGAAACCCGAAACCCGAAACCTTAAACCCTAAACCCTAAACCCTAAACCCTAAACCCTAAACCCTAAACTAAACCCTACCATACGGGCACGCGTTGTCATATTCATCCCAAGAGGGATCTCGACACAGGAAACCTACCGTACTCTTAGGGTAGTTACATGGTCCCTTAATGTGGGCCCTTAAAAGGTGGCACCTTATATACCCCTTATATACCCTGTACGACCCAAGGGCCCCATACTTCGGAACCCTTTAAAGGTCAGGGTTTAGGGTTTAGGGTTTAGGGTTTAGGGTTTAGGGTTTCGGGTTTCGGGTTTCGGGTTTCGGGTTTCGGGTTTAGGGTTTAGGGTTAAGGGCCCATGAAACCAACATAGGGGCCCTATTCTTTAGAATAGGCTTTTGGGGGTCATTCGAGTATAAGTACAAAGGGACCACAAGGGAACACTATTCGTCACTACTCCGGCCCC